TCATTTCTAGACTTGGTGTCAATAAGTGAGAATACCCATGTATGTGAGTGATTGCTGGACTGGTTATGAAACTACAAATGTGAATGGATGGTTTTCATACTTCAATTTGGCCTTGGTCTGTTCTATTTGCGTTTCTTTTTCTCTGATTTGGGATTGTAGACTGGCGATGGATGCGCGGAGGGTGGACTAGGTTTTTTCATTAGTTGAATGTTGCTACTTGTGGGGAGAGTATACATAGCTACCAGCTTTCTTTCTCTTTGGCTCTGGATTTGCTCGTCACTGGCTGGGGTTGTAGTGGAGGATGTGGCTTGCTGGGGTGGTGGCATGATGGTATGCGCATGCATTGGAAGGGGGGGGGGATTGGCTTCCTATCTCATCTTCCCCATTAGTTGAAACCGGGCTGTTATGTTAGAGGGAATAACCAATGTAACAGGATAGCCTTGGCAATGATTCAGAGAGCTAGCTGCCTTGACTGCCGGGTGTGTGGGGAGAGAATAGCGTACTTTTTGTAGATATAAGTCGAGTGAGTACGTAGGCCTGGATGGGGCCCGTCTCTTCTATGCCGTCCGATCTGCAGTTTCACAGATAATTCGAATCCACTGTCAAGCGATGATGAAAATCTTTCACCACGGTGTCTGGTGTATTCTTGTTGCTTGTTCTAGAAGGATAGATTAGCAATGGCGATGAGCTGAGTGGTTTACTATTACCAACGAATAAGTACGTACTGCCTTTATTGTAGTAGGTAGTATACTAAGTAGTTAGTACTGACTGCCTGGTAATTGTGGCCATACAACGCTAGGCGACCAATCCGCTCCGTCCGATTTCGCGGCTCCCTTAATAAGGCCGAATAGGGAACCGAACTCCCGCCTCCGCTTCCATCAAATCCTCAATCGTCTGACACACTCTCTCTCTTTCTCTCTCCCCCTCCCTCCCCTCTTCTTCTTCACTCTTTTTCTCCTCGCAAAAGGGTGAAGTTGACAATGGCGATATCGAGTCGATTTGGGCCCCAAGGGTTGCTAGCAGTCCTACTGCTTGCTTCCCCGGCTCTGGCCCATGGGGGCCATGAGAGTGTCCCCGAGGGTGCCGCCATCTCCGAGGATCCGATTGTATGTTGTCGCACCCTGTCTGCGATCGCAGCGGTCTCAATCTTATACTGACTAGTCGCCTAGGACACAACACTATGGATACACATGATTCTTATGGGTTTCGCCTTTGGCATTATTTTCCCCTTGGGCATGGTTCTTGGGGTAAGCTGGCCCTGTTACATCCTATCTCCGGCCTTGCGCGGTCGGGGATACCTGGTTGCATGATTACATGAGGTTCATATCTGACATTTCCGCTTTACGATCGCAGATTGTACGCTCGCGCTGGCATGTTCCCCTCCAAATTGTCGGAACAATTATCGCTGTGCTCGCATACTTCCTCGGACATGCTCACAAAGGCCGCCAGTTCTCGAAGAACGTCCACGCGTCCTTTGCGAACACACTGATGCTCATGATGGTGGTACAGATCGTCCTCGGTGTCTATCTTAAGCTGCACCTTTCCAAGGGCATTCATGGCCGGATCCGCAGGGTTATTGTAATTGCGCATGGAGTGGTCGGAAAGGCGATGCCTGTGGCGAGCTGGGTCCAGATGCTCTTTGGAGGAATCACCGCCTTGGGATTCTGTCGGGATGATCATCTGGGACAGTGTCTGGCCCATTTCATCATGGGCAGCGCTTTCATCGCCTACGGTATTCTGTTGACCATCCTTCTCCTCGTTGGCCAGTACTGGCTGCGCCGCACTGGCCGCAGCCAGGAGTTCTTCGACTCGTTGGTTATCGCTGCATGGGGATGTGTCAACACCTTCACGGAACACCGCTGGGGAGGTCCCTGGGTCCACAATGATCTGCAGCACACCACTATGGGTGTTGTCTGGTGGTGCGCCGGTCTACTGGGTATCTGGATGAGCCGGAAGCGCAACGGCCGTCCCAAGCGGAACCTGATCCCAGCCATTGTTATTCTCCTCACTGGTTATGCTATGTCTGCCCATCCGCAGACTCTGATGATCAGCACCATGATTCACAGTATCTTCGGCTACACCTTGATGGCTGCTGGTTTCACCAGAATCGTCGAGATCTCCTTCGTGCTCCGGGACAAGGGCAGTGTCAGCCCGGACGGATCCGACCCTAACAGCTTCCAATATCTCACGCCTTTCGTAAGTCTTCCACAGCCCTCTGGCTGAACAGTATCGTCGTTTTAACATAACGCAGCTTCTATACGCCTCAGGTTTCCTCTTCATGGGCGCCACTGAGGAGCAGATGCAACTTCTGAACGATGCAGGCATCACCCACGTATCCTATGTCCTCATCCTCTACAGCATCGCCTTCATCCTCTTCCTCTGTAAGACCACTTCCTTCCCCTCAGACCAATGAACCGCAGCTAACCCCACTCAACACAGTCGTCAACGTACTCCTCCACATCTACGCCGTCCACGCATGGCCCGAATCCGCACAAGCGCCTTCGCACTCGCGCTCCTCCAGCGCCGCAGATGCCGGCGAGGGCTCCTCCCGCTACAGACCCACCGCTAACGGCCGCCTCATGAACGGCCATGCCCGTTCCCACTCGGAAGCACAGCACCTGCACGACGCCGAGGAATTCGAACTCCAAGGCCTTATCTCCGACGAGGAGGATGACGCCAAGGACACCCACGCCATGGGTCCGAGGAAGACTGAAGACGAAGAGAACTCTCCTTTGGTTGCTAATGGGACGGCAGCTACGACGCATTAATCTTATCTTCTTGTAGAGGGAGTGTGCATTGGGTGTTTTTTATTTACATATTCTTCCTTTTCTTTTCTTTTAAAAAGATCGTTGAGATATCGGATATATTAGTTTCCTTTTTTTCTTCTTATGTTTCTCGTTGGTTTCGTATTGTATGCAGATATCTCTGGTACTGCGTAGTATTCTAGCTCGCTGTAGCTATGGAGTCTGGTGTGAACATCGATTTGGATTGGTTTGGGTATGTTCTGTGCGGAAGTGAGTTCTAATCAGTGTAATATTTCATCAATCCCTAACACTAATGCGAGAGACCTATTTTTGGAGAGAAATAAGTTAAAAATCTGAATGGCTTTATTTTGAATAATTCCCCCGGAAGATATCGAAATCGTGTTATCGGAACTATCGTACACGTCGTAAGCGGATCGCCCCACCAAGCAGGGATGCCGATATGCAAAAAAAGAGAAAGAAGAGAAACAATATTCCTCATCTGGTAGGCCGCTGTCCATTCTCAACAACTGCCGTCTCACGTCTTAGCGGGAGGGCATTGAAAGTGCCGGGGCTGGCTCGCCATCCAACGGGATAGCTTGGACAACTGGAACCACGGGTGGAACGGCGCTCTCAACTTCCGGAGGGAAGAAAGGGTGTAAGGGGTAGATGGGAGCGGCGGAGCGTTCTCCGTCGAAGAGGAGCATGTTCTGGAGGGGGTGTTCTCGTGCGCTCAAGACGTTGATCACGTCCTGGGCAAGATAGCCGCCTACGCATGCGGCTACGGGGCTCAATTCACTTCCCAGGTTCTGGAGGAAGGTGCGCAGGAACCCGGCGTCCAGGGTGGTGATGTCGAGCTTGAGTTCCTGGTGACAGTCGCGAGCGTATTTGGTGAAAAGTTCCAGGTCTTGGTGGGAGAATGTGGGTAGGGCGCCGCCGGATGATTTCTGATATTCCCATAATGCGCGGAGACAGGTGAGGAGAGGTGTTACTTGTTTGCGCTTGCGTGCGATTCGGGTGAACTCCTCGGGAAGTGGCGAGGTGTTGGCGAGGATCAGCGGGGAATACACTTCGCGCTTGGTCACCATTTCGATGACCTTCTCGTTCTCTTTCTTTGTGGTGATGTTTAGGATACTGCGGGTCGGGGTTTCCTGCGTGGCGGATGGGACGTTGGACTTGGTCCGCTCAATGACGAAATCGTGCGAGATCAGATCGGCGAACATGAAGCCGTAGAATCCGTGCAGTCCGGCGGCATAGAAGGGACGGTTTGCGATGCGACAGGCCGCATTGATGGTGGTGTATGTAGCAAAGTCAAGCTCGGTTGCGATGGTGATATCGAATTGGGCGAAGAAGTCGGGCTGTTTGAGGTGGATGTCTTCTGTGTCAATGTGAAGCTGAACACGCGGGTTCATGGCGCGGACAGAGGGCGCTGCCGCTTGCGCGCGCTGCGTTGCGATCAGTATATGGATGAAAGCTTGTTGGAAATGGAACAGCGCACATTTTGACCCAAATGTTCCTCATTGATGAAAAATTGCGCGCCCAAGTCCTCTTCTGTCACCACCTCATGATCAACGATGGTCAAGGAGCCAATGCCTGCCAATACTAGATTCTTCGCAACTTCGTTCGCCAGCGCCTTGAAAGTGATGAGGAGGATGTTCGCGGATCGGAGTCTATAGAGAAGTTACCGTCAGCTTGATCGGGTTGGTAAGCATTGTAGTTAGTTGAGAGAGCTCACTTTTCCTGGGCTTTAACTCCCCAGAGGCGGATCTGGCGATCATACAGAGCTATCTCGTCTATTGCGTTCCATGGACAAGTCAAACGTCGGTTTCCATTGGATAGTAGATTTTTATCGGAGATGAGATAATCTTCTTACCAGCGCTGATAGTCTGAGCTGGATCGGGCTGTGGCTCCATTGCGACTGTTCGCGAAAGCTTTCTTTCTGGTTTATGTCGGAGTGCCGGAGAAGAGTGAGGGGAAGAAGTATGGGACACAAGACGGCGAATGGAAAGTAGCGGATTCAGGCGGATCGGCCAGCAGTTGTGGGACTTGCATGTATCTTCGCCGTCGGCAACGGGGTCTTCTTGAAAACGGAATCAGGCGAAACGAGTGATTGTATACGAAGAGAGTGAAAGAAGGGAAGCGGAGAGTAGTAATAGGCAGGAGGAGAGCTTACCCCAGCATCATCACGTGCATGGGCCATTGAAACGCTTTGGGAAAATCAACCAAATCAAATCACTTATCAAACCATCCCATTTCACCCCCTCATCAATCATCCTCCCAATTTCAACCATCTCGCCTCCTTCTTATCACCCATTCATCGGCCTTCATTTCTTGTTCGAGGTCTTTCCCATGTCACCGCTGTGGCATTTTTGTGCCTCCCTCTCGTCTGCTAAGCTGCTTTTCTTAATCGTGTCCCTCGTCATTGCCTCATAATCGCGGTATAGTTATTCGGCCTCCGCTCCCGCTTCCGCTCACTCACTGCCTCCCTCCCGGTGCTCCGAGCCAGCTCCCACTAGCCACGAAACAACTCACTCTCACAGGATGGTACGTTTGTGAATATAGCCTTCCCTCCGCTACCAATAGAAACCTTACACGGCCTAAGCATCCACATGCCACCCCGCTTTGCTGCAGCTATTGACTAGCATGTACCACTGTAGTCGGGAAATTACGACTATCCTCCTGCCTCTCGCCGTCCTTCTCGTGGAGCTCGAACCAATGAGCGACAACAACAGCAGCAACAGCAGCAGCAGCCTCCGCTGAATCGTTTACAGCATCTCCGGGAGCTCTTAACATCGGAGCGTAACCGCGGTGACCTCGCCTTCGCCCGTGCTGTGGAGACCTTAAACCAAGAGATGGACGATTACCGCTCTTCTCGCTTCTGGGACCGTTCTAGCTTTGAGCAAGCCAGGGCAGCCCTCGACCAACATATGCAACAGCTCCAGGAACGAACGAGACAAAGCCGTGCCAATACGGGCAGCTCAGGGCCACCGGTGCGTCCGCGTCCAGGAGTACCAAGACTGCAGCCTTTGAGTGTTCCAGTGGCGAACCCAGACGAAAGCGCTTCCGATCCCTCACGTTCTGATAGCAGAACTCCAAGGCCTCGAGCTGGTAGGGGTAGCGACCGACCTAACCGTCTGAGGCGGCCCAGAGATTCCAATACTTCCTCTCTCCTAGATACGCCGGTCCCTCACTTAGACTCTCCCACCGCCATGCCTCAACAGGTAGAAGATGAACACCAGTTGGACCGTGCAAGGACGAAACGTCGAAAGCTTGACACAGATGATAATAGAGAAGGATTACAGGGCTTCCGCTACGGTCAATATGGCCAGGTGGTGCCTGGGGCACTCAGAATGGAGTTGACTAGCTGCGATGGGGGAAGATATGAGCCGCATGGCGAGAGCTCATGGCCAGAGAACATACTTCGCAATGACGCTTCCGTATACTGTACGAAATCTGATCGCTGCAATCTTGTTCTGAAGCACCAAGGGGAGTCTCCGTTCTGCCTGAAGAAGATTGTAATCAAAGCGCCAAAATCATGCTACAACTCCCCGTACGTTTCAGTTGGGCTAGATACTCTATCTCAGACTATCACTGACAATTTTAAAAGGATCCGGGAAGGCATGGTTTTCGTATCAATGTCATGTGATGAAGTCCTAGCCCGTACAGCTGCTTTCGAAGTGCAATGGGAATCAACTCGGCCCTTCGCGCGGCATTTACCTGGCGGAATGCAACCATCCCAGGAGTATCTAAATGCATATCGACCTCCGCTGCAAAGCTTAGGTCGGGGCCCAGTTATTGACCCCTCCTCGGATTCAGAATCAGATAGTATTGATGACCCCGGCGCTGTAGAACCTAGTGCTAGCAATGTGCCAGACCCCACGTCTGAATTTCGAGTCACAACCGAGTACACTGCGCAGTCCGACACACGTCATGATCATCTTGACCATATGGACGACGACGACCTGATTTCCCTTACGGATACCGATAGCATGCCCCTAGGGCGGATGGACGAGGACAACACAATATGCTCGGACAGTGAGATGAGCTTAAGCGACGATGATTCAAACGTCAGCACATTTACACGACGCCAGCGAGAGCTATCACGACGAATTCGAGCTATGCGTCGCCGCTATGTCGCAGAGCGAGAGGGCCAACCAAGGCGACGACCATACCTAGCCATGCCAACACCAGGTCTGCGCCCTGAAGGCACACTTGGCTCAGAGTCTCCTCAACTAATGAAACCACATGCTCGCTTTTCCATTGAGCGCAATAAAAGCATGGTCAGCATCAAATTCGATCCACCTCCGTATGTTGCTTCCCACCATACTTCTCTCAATAGGTATACATCAGTCTCTAACCCAATTGATACAGCTCAGGACGATATATCCTCGTCAAATTATGGAGTCCTCACAGCGGCAAAAACATAGATATCCAAAGCATCATCGCCTACGGCTATGCCGGGACCAGATTCTTCCCTGCTTTGAGTTTCAGGTAAACCAAACCAGTGGGATTTCTCTTTTTCCTCTTCCCCTTCTTCCTCCCTTCTTCTGAATCAAATCATACCAGAATGTTATCTGGGTCTGCTACTGTAGAATTCACTTGCATACAATATTACAGCCAACCAGCACAACTAGACCAATGCACTTTGCGAAAGCTCGGCACGGAACTGCACGGAATGCAACAATGCCTGGTGTTTATGGAGTATGGCGTCCATCGACTATCATTCCATGGTTTCTTTCTTACCTTTCTCTTTTTCTCTTTCCGAATGCTCAAACCCGGGCTGCTGACATGAACTTACCATCCCCGGGATTAATGGTAATTGTTGATGCCTTCTCTCATCGCCTCACATCACATGCTGAATTACTTCATGACCCATGAACCCATTGCATATCTTCATCTGACCATTCCCAAATGACACATGGACATCATAATTATTCATTAGGTAGTGATTCATTCCATCGAAACGGAATGCCTAGAATGTACTTACTATGTATCTTACTATCACACCTTCTAACATATTTCAGAATTTGTAAATTTGTAAAATAAATGGCTGTTTATCACTCAATACATCAATCGTCAAAGGCCATGAACAGAAAAGCACAGGAAGGAGGTCAAGATCACTCAATCCAGCAGAAGTAAAATACAAGCAAAGTCATCATCCAACGAAACCCAGACTAGCATTGCGCCCTTTTCCGCGTTGAGTAAATCACAGTAAGAAGGAAGGAAAGTGAGAGATCAGCTCTTGTATACTGAGCCGTCATGTGAAATGAGTGACAAGGGTGGGAAAGTGTGATTAGGCATGAAAGACCCTGTCTGGGGTAGATCAGAGTGTCATGATTTGAGAGAAACCAGGCCCAAGATGCTATTAACGCATGAAGGAATATGCACGTATGTCGAGTCCCATAGCAGAAGGACGACCGGGTAGGCCAGCCAAAAGCAGGTAGGTATTTAGCAAGTTGGGGGTTTCCATAGACGTTGGTGTTCGTTATTAGCTGTTCCTGGAATGAACCAGGACAGAACAATGAAAACGAGGGGAAGGTATTAAAATGAGCGTAGGAAAAGGAGGCGCCAGGAAGAATGGCATCCCGACGACAATAACCTGACAATCGTCGGCAGACCGAAACATATGTACAAAGACGGGCCTCGGTCATCTGCAGCCACAGCGTGAAGTGAAACAAAATATGAAAATTTAGCAGGATCAACCCGCTGTTAGATTTGTACGATCGTCAACCTGCACAGACAGCATTGCTGCAGGTCAACGTATCTCGAATCGATGCTGTCATTTCTCGTCTCTCGTGCAAAGATCGTCGAACGCCGAGCTTTCCTCTGAAATAGACGTAAATAGTGATCAAGCCAAATAGTACTCCGGGAAAAAAAAGATCCAACTCCGCCCATAAGCAAAGAAAACGGGTTTTTTTTCTTTCCAAGAACGAAATTCAAATGGATATATGAAGGTAAATTATATGACGACGACATCTCCCTCAGCATCCGCTGGGTCAGAGACCATCATATCACCATATTTACCAACAGTCATGAGCATCGAATCATCGTCAAGGTCAATGGCGCTATCATCATTATTGGGAGCCTGGAAACCAGTCATGCTATCGGAAACACCGCTAGGCTTCTCGGTTTCCAATGTGTTCTGGTTCGATTCGGCTTCCATCTGCGAGCGATGCATTGGTGTCTGCGTTTGCGTAAGACTCTCCGCTGATGTTGGACTGGCGGCCGACCTTGTCCTCGAATGAGCGGCGTGTTGGGACTCATTCTTGTCCGGCACTGGGCAGTTAGACGGTTTCATGAGGAAGCTGGTTGGCCCCTGCTGGTTCGAGCTCAGGGTTGCATAGTGCAAGGTGCTTGGGGTGTAACGCATAAATCCTCCTTTTTCGGCCTGCCATAGCATCATTTCATGGAAGAAAACCTTGGTCATCCACCAGGCGCTGAAACTCTGGGCGCCACCTAGAGTCAACCGTCGTAGTATGCAATCCCATAAAGCATCGACTTTCTCGATGATACACTGCGTACTGTGATGGGGGAATACGGAAGGTAGGTTGAGGATGAATGATATCCACTTGTCTGGAAAGTTGTAGTCATCTCCCGCAGCCGACTCCACGGGGTACTTGTGTGCCTGGATGTCTTCATCGGTATCTGGCCGGGTGTAGAACGGGAGGGCAGCAGAAGGATTCATGTCCGCAACAGGAGTAAGCAAAGCCCGAACATCGTGCTTCAATACTAGTGCTGTTGCAAGTTCGGAACAGCGTGGGATATTCGCCTTCACGATCATCTCCTGGGGATCCACCAAGGTTTTGAAGTCAAACCACATCTGATTTCTGTTGTCGGGATGGCACAACCAAGCCGCAGCCGCGTTTGCAGATTGATTCACATCGAGCATGTGCTTCAGAAGGTTGCAGAAGATATGAGCCGGAATTAATCTTGCCTCCGATACATGCAGTGGCTGAGACTTGAATGTATCGGCAATATGGGCTGTAAGTTTCTGAGAGATCGAGCTGAAAGCATCCAACACGAGCTTGGGAACGACCTGCGTAGTAAGTGGCGCAACGAAAGCGATCATTTTCTGGTACATTATCCAGTCACATTCCTTGATCCACGGAGCAAGATTCGGGTGGGTTAGGAGTTTCTGGACTGGTACGGTCAACGTTCCATGGAAGGCGGAGAAATATCGTAGCATGTTTCTTTCCTTGCAGTATCTGAAACTGTCGATGACGGAGATGCAGTGTGAACGGTAGAGAGCCGCAAGAGCCGCAGCAATCTTCGAATCCGTATTGGCTGGTAGATAGTCACTGATATCAGGAAGCTGCAGAGATTCGTTGTCCATTGGGGGAGAGTCGGAAGACGGTAGGTGAAGCATTTGGTGTATCAACTTTCCTGATGTGCTTGCCATATTGTCAAGTCTGATGGATGAACCAGTGTGAGACTCAGATGAAGATTGGCAGTCACATCCCGAAGTAGATGGGGTTGCAGTGAACTTTGGTGCAAAAGATGTCGTAGGCGAAGGGAATATAGCAGTATCTGCAGGAGGCTGTGGCGCAACACTAACACTGTGATCTATGTAAGTACTTGAATCCGTGAATGAGTCCATCACGTGACGCACCTCTTCTGCATCATGTCATCAACTTTGCTTTCAGTGACATTTGCTGCGCTGTTCGTGTTCGATGGCAACTGTGGATTGAGGGGTGGTGGCTTCTGCTGCTTTTCCTCAATGACAGTGAGGTCCACATAGTGATACTTCGATTCGCCCCGCACACCAAGTCTTCTAGTCTGCACATTTGGGAAGATAATGCGCACAAGCTTGCCGAAGGAAGCAGGGTTCAAAACTGATACTCGTTCTGTTCCACACTTCTCTGCATAGCAGCAGTACACGCGATCGCGGCGCACTGAGCCGCTGCTCTTGCGGCAGTTCTCCTTCAGCCTAGACTGTTGTGAGCGAACATTCCTATGCATGGAACTGCAATAAACAAGCCTTACCAAATCATCGCAAAGACTTGTTTGACTTTCTCAGCCTTGCCTCCAGCCCCTTCATGCTTCAAGACCTCGGCTGCCATCTGCTTCAGCGAATACCCTTCATATTGGCGGAGCAGTTTGCGCAATTCGTTATCGTTGGCTAGCGACGAGCTGGACCCCTTCTTCTTCTTCGCGCCAGCCTCGGAGATATCATTTTCTTCCAGTACATGCTCAGGCACATGGTTCTCAATTCCACTGTCATACATAGCTGTGTATTGGGGCATCGGCACGCCCGCCAATCCATGGCTTGATAGACCAGAAGGGAGGGAGTGATGTGACATATGGTGACTATGCATTGCATGGCTGGGAAATTCCTCTGCCCTGGGCATGACAGCATGGTGAGCATCCTGCATGGTCGGGTCGAGGGACGCTCCGTTCACCGGGTGCGACAACTGTTGGCCAAATCGCATGATGATATCCTCCGGGTTACCGCCGAAAACATTGTGACCAGCAGTGGGTTGGGTGGGCAGGAACTGAGAAAAGCCATCGGCAAGCTGTTGGTCCTGGGTCTGCTGGGTCGTGTTGGAGTGGATGCTAGCCGTCGAGCCTCTGGACCGCGGGCGACGACTGTTTCGGGACACTACGGTTTCGGAGCGTGATCTCATGAGATCAGCCGTCCCGGGGCGACTGTGAGTTGCTACTATCTGGGTTGCTTGGGAAGCAGCACTCGATGATTGGGAGGCCGCTCGGGCTGCGGTTCCTGCAAGTTAGCCGGCAGTCCAACGTACAGCAGATGGAGAGGGAAGGCAATCAAGGTCTTCAGGTGCGGAGAAGGTCAGATGGAAGCAGACACGTCGCCTGCAGGAAGGAAGGCAGCTTCTTACCCATCTCAGGAGGCATCTCTTTCTCTTTTAGGATCTGCTACGCTGTGCAGTGTGTGTCTGGGTTTCCTTGTTGCTGGGTGAGAGACGATCGGTAACCACGGGCAATAGCGTCTGTTTTGATCCTTCACGGAGCCACCCTCGACCGCACGAGGTCCACACCGCAAGAAGGACAGCTAGAACGTGAACCAACGGAGCTAGAAGTTGATGAGTTGTCGTCAAGGCATCAAGAGGGGTTGTCGAGCTGAAACAGGCTGGCTATGGAAGGCTCATAGCGACAGTGTCCAGAAGGTCGAAGTGTGGTGTTCGAAGGAGGATAAACAGAGAAATTGGTTCCTCAAGCAACGACCGGGCGCTTGTTTGGGTCACGCATCACGTGGTGCTTACCTAACTGACATTCCTCGTCACAAACAAACAAGTAACTAACAAGTATGTACTCCCGACCTCTTCGTGTTCCCCCAAATAGATAGAGATACGTATCCTTATAACAACTGCCTACTGGCTCCTAAACTAGGGGTGGTTACTCTAACATTCCTATTTCTATAATAGCCATTATTATACCCTTTTGCGGCGATATGTTCTGCTTGACCGACCGGTGTTCATAACTATAACAATCCATCGGTCGGTCACATCAGCCGCATTTAGATTATCTAAGCTGAGCCCCGTGACTTCATCGGCCACGTCTAGTCTAGTCTCAACACTAAACAACAGACTTCCACTTTATACTTCCATCTCCACTTGAATTATTCTATTTCAACCACAATGTCAATGCTTTCTCTTCCACCCATATGTGCATTTACAATACTATGAGAGAACAACAGCGACATAACGATGGAACTGATCAATTCTTCTATAAATCTAACTGGTATCGCTTGCAAAACAGTGGTATCGCCAAATGCCGCTAAAAGAAAACCCGAATCAAGAATGTGTGGAGAAGAATCAAACATCTACTTCACCAGTCCCACTACACCATTTTTAAACCCTTTGCCTCCCTAATTTCCGTTGGCTTTGGCCTTGAGTCTCCTTTCACGGGCATGTCGCCAGCCAGGGCCCCATCGATCTTCGACATACAGCAACGGAGTCATCACGAGGGTAATGCCGGCAAGCAAGAGGAAAGTATAATCCGGTTTCAAGGCGTCAAGGATAGGCTGCACGACAGCCACACCGCCAGCTCCAAGCAGGCACCGCATCAGATTGTTCACTGCTGTCGCACTGGCGCTAGCACCTGGGTAAAGATCAATGACCAGAGCGCTGTTGATAGTGAAAAGCCCTGTTGAGCAGAACGCAATGAAGTACTGCAGAATGATAGGAACCGCCAGGTGTGTGCGCAGAGACACACCGTACAGAGCTACGGTCACGATGAAGATGGCAATCACCCACCAGGTATTGCGCATCCGGGCAACCTCAATGGGGAAGTCGGGGTGTGATTTCAGATTGACACGTGTGCCTGCCGGGTAGCCGTGTTTCTCGCAATATTCGCGTTCAGTACGGCGGTGGTTGTAATCCATGAGGTAGCCGACCAGATAAGAGCCAGACATGCATCCGAAGCCTATCGATGCATGAGCGATCATTCAAACCAAGTGTCAGAGAGGATCATATTACTTACCATTGCCCAGGAAAGTAAGTCCAATATCCAGGGATGACAAGCCGTACACTTCGCTGAAGAGGTCGGTGGTACTGGATGTCACCATACTCCACACTGTGTACACGATACTTCCAAAGAAAAGAGTGATGAAAACGTCCTTTTCGACGAGGAACGTCAAAGGAGCGAAAACCGATTTCCAGCTGCTTTGGGTCTTCTTCGCTTCCGGTTGCGCTCCCTCAACAACCCCCTTCTGGCCGGTGATCGAGTAGATGAAGGGTTTATGGATTCCATTGAGCTTTACAGTTCCATTTCCAGCAATTGGCCTCAATGTCTCCGGGAGGAGCACCAGAATGGACAGGAGACTCACGCCCCCGGCAATCGTGAGGAACCAGAAGATAGATCGATATCCGAGATACTGGGTGAAGATGCCGCCGAAAACCGGCCCGATTCCTTGTCCAAGCATGCGAACTTGATTCTGTCAGCTTAGCCATCCGGCAAGCAAAGGGGGTATTCTTACCTCCACCGAAGATACCCACCAAGCTACCTCTTTCTTCCGAGTTTGTGATATCACCAATCACTCCGGCTCCTAATCATGGTTAGCCAGATGCTATGATAGGCTGTGAGGTCACTCTTACCGATTGAGATGGTGGCCGCGCTACCAGCAGCCTGCAAGGCTCGGAAGGCCATGAGCTCACCATAGTTCTTAGATTCAGCAAGAGCGATATTGGCTACGAGGTAAACGACGAATGTTCCAATAAAGACAGGCCGTCTACCCGTGGCGTCTGACATGGAACCCCAGAAGCTAGGGGCAAGGCCTTGGACGATCATGTACACGGTGATGGTGAGAGTTGCGAGCGACATGCTGATGTTGAGGGACTATCATGATACAGTCAATATGCCGGGTTCAGGAAGGCATGGAACCGAGGTACTCACTTTTGAGACATCATCCAGGGCAGGGAAGTAAATGTTCGACGAAAGCGGGGAAAATATGGCGGCGAGGGAGACGATGCAAACCATTTGCAGCTTGCGAGACCGTGTGAAGATATGATGCGGTGGCTTCTCGGACGACTGAGCCTCGAGGGTCGAGGGCTCCGGAGAGAGAGATCCCTTGTCGGAGTCATTGTCTCTAGGGGTGACCTGTGGTACAGGGACCTTTTCAAGGTCTGATCTTGATGAAGATGTGGTTGAAGACATGATTGTTGATATGACTCGGGGCCAGCCTCGAAGCACGTTGGCAATCTGTGAACCACCTTGGGGAGGAATATCAAAGCTGAGATTGCAAGCCCGGAAGTGCGAGGCCAATGCACTTTATGTTCCGGAGTTTTGAAATTGATCTGGCACTGGGCCAAAACATCTTCGAAAACTCGATTAAAAAGCAGATGCAGGATTGCTCCACTGCGGAGCATCTTGGACAGACGGGGGGGCTATCCATCTTCCATGACCTTCCTAAAGAGGGTAAATGTGGGTGGCAAGAGCCGGTGTTATCGCCAAGGTATGAACGGAGACGTGGGTTTAGGAGTATCTCTTCGGCCGGTCTTACTTGGCGACCAGTAGTCTAGGTCACATCCGAGAGAGTCCAAGCCGTCGGGCAGCCGACGAAGAAACAGAAACAGAAAAATAAAAAAGGGCGAAAGGGCGGAGCTACCAAGATCTGCATACATGACGTGGGCCCGGCGTGGTGATGAAATTCCAGAACGAGCATGCTTTCCAGGCCATCCTGGACTACGACTAGCGCCTGCACCTCGAGAGCTGACGGATTTAGTCAACTTAGCATACAGATTTCCAGCGAATGGTGTGTGTGAAGGACCGGGCACGCCTGTCATGCGCAAGGGTCTAGATGGAAGCGGAGCCCGTGATAAGGAAGCTGAGCAGGCTATTCAGTGGCGCCGTGGCGGAGCGTTGGGCTACATGGTATGGAGTAGATAGGCCGTCGACTCTTCTCAGCCAACATCTCCCACATGTGTTGACGGAGAAGGCTGTCTCCCACGCAGAAGCTAAGCGTGATCAACACGGAGAGGCCCGATGCAACGCGAGACGGCAAGGCAAGTCATCAATTGACGACTCAGGGCGCCAGGGTCCCTATCCCCCCCCCCTTAGAAGGAGTAGTTGTAGGAAACAGGGAGCACGCACGCGCGCCAGTATGAGCAATCTGAGATCAGCCTGATTGGCGAACTGCTCAGGTGTAGTGGGTTGCTTATGGATCTCGGGGATCTACATCAGGCCCATACGCACTAAGAAGGGGGGGGTGTAGGAGGATGATTGCATGGGAGGCGAGGACCAAAAAAATCGAGTGCTACGCCCAGACAACGAGTTTTTCTTGGGATGGATCCCTGACAAGCTGGCCAGCCTCGCTGGGCTGGTTCCACCGTGGCTGCAGATTGCGGAATTGGGGGTGGAGTGAAGCTATACCAAGACACCTTGAGGGAGCTCTCCCACGGGAGAATCGCCAACCACAACTCCACAGCCAATGAGCACCTGATCGGGTCAGTGCGGGAGGTCTACGTAACAGATGGTAAGCTTAAATATGAGACAAGTAGAGATTGCCATCAGGGGTTGTGGATAGGGTGAAAAAGGAGTCGTTGCGCAACAGGATGGCAGTAGAAGTGAAGCAAAGAAAATACAGGATTGGGGAAATCAACAGGGTGAGATGCATAATAATAGAAAGTGATGACGAAGATGCCGTGAGGATATGAGGCACCAATGCATGTAAATCACGAAAACGGATAGTGTCGGGATTCTAGGGAGGTGTATGGAGTGTCGGAACACGCAGAGCAAGAGGGTCTGAGACTGATTGATCGCAATAGTGTGGTTGACGACGTAGATCGCGGATGGAGCAAGATGAGACCTTGAACTGGATCTCCACCAACTTTTTCTCCTTCTTCCTCCGTGGGACTCCGTTCTACTACTACTATCTACTACTAACAGCACCACTAACTGTTCGACAGCACCTGTGCTGAAGAGCTAACCTCACTAGTAGCAGTTCAAATTCGATAGATAACAACGACAACGGAACAATTTCCTCTGCCATCAGTCATGCTTACTATGTAACCGAACGAGTACTACATATTTCACCGAATATTCTCCTCTCCCTATTTTCCTCCTTAGCGACAACAACAACTATTCATGCCAAGGATCACAACAACAAAAAAAAGGAACTTGTGCCAAGAGCACACCCTAATTCTTCCTTGATAAGAAGGTTAAAACACTACTACTAAATCAGCACTAAATCTAACCCATAACCCATTCCTTTAAATCCATCCTCGCTGCGTCGTCCTGCACTAGCGCCGGAACCGCGAACTAAACAAGCAAATCAGGGGTCCCAAGCACACCATAACGTCCCTTTTTCCTCTTCTTATTCGGCCCCTCTCTTTTCTCTTTTTCTCTTTTCTTTTTGATGATCATCGTATACCAAGTGATCCGGCAGTAGTGTGCGGATATCACAATTAAACTGAAATATTCTTATCTCCATTATTATTCTAATATTATTTCTTTGGGCATCACTACTATATAACTAAATCAACTTGAAGACATGAACAATAAAAAAAAAAGAAAAGGATTAATATCTACGGAGTATCTATACCACAAACTAACTACGATGAAATATAGACTAGTGGGTGGCTCAGCAGAGATATTTCTCCAACTAGTAGTAACAGTAGTAAGTAACTTCACGAAAATTATTATTTATTTATCTAGTACTATTTACTTCAGGCTCAGACTCAGACCTCTGCCCCCTCTCTGAGTCCCTCTCTACCCGAATCACCCATTCCGACTGGTTAAAGTTCCCTGCAAAGTGGAGGCGATGATCTACGCCGGCGGCCGCCACTTGAGACGGGCGGTCAATCGGGAGGCGTACGGGAGTAGAAACTGTTTAGTTTTTGTGTTTGGGGCTGGTCCGCTCCTGTCTTCTTGTTTCTTTTCTTGGCAAAGGTGGTTCGGATGGCTGATGTTTGAGGTGGTGTGTGTTGTGCTGTGTTGACTTGAGTTGGATTATGTGTTGTTGTGTTAAGACGGTGAAAGATAAATCCATCCATCCCATCTTTTGTAGAATTTATGATCCATGCAAGTGGGTGAGTATTTTAGTTTATTGACTGCCTCTTCGTATTCAATGCCACCACCACCACTACGTACCACTACCACTACTACTGTGGAAGTAAGTAAGAGTACCTTTTGGACCAGATCGGGATCTAGACAAGATGCGAGCCGACGACTGAAGAAAAACAATAAAAATAAAGAATCGAAAAGTATAATTAAATAAAGAAGAGAATTATAAAAATAGAATGAATAAATCAGAATGGGAGAGACTAGAACTAACTAGGTTATTGTTATCACAGGGCGGCCCTTGTTCAAACCAACTCAATTCAATCCGGTATCTTCCGTTTTCTTTCTTTGCCTAGAAACTCTACTACATCTAGTAGACTACTACTTCAACTGTGTAGAAAAACTTGTGGTAGATAGGTTGGTAATCCTTCATTATGCACTTACATATTTAGTACCTGTCAGGACCTGCAGATAACAGAAAAGAAACAAGCAGACAAGAAGAAGCAAAAAGATATATATTAAAGCTTTTTTTTATTGTGCCCCTTGTCAATTCTCTCACACACTCTCACACACTCTCTCCTTTAGCGAGGTTCAATTGATTTAATAACTAACTTACTGTGATTATCCCGCTCCCCTCCCTCTCTCCGTTTGTGGCCAAACCCGAGAACCAGTCATATTGCAAAGCCCGAGCGAAGTATGTATGTATGTATGTATGCATGCATACCTCGCTGCATGCTAACACAACCGGTTCTGCCACACATTTATTAGATAGATACCGAATGATCTGTTGTATTACTGTACTCTCTCGGTTTAGTGTGCTACTATCTTCCGACACGACCAAGAATCTTGGCCTGAGGCCAAGACAAAAAGACTACGAATACAGAAAAGCCCAAGCAAGAAGAAACAACTATCTGAAATCGGGAATTGGTTGGGATTGTCTTCCAAGGCTCGGGTATGCAGCCAAGACAACACGAGAGAATGAGAAGAAATCTTGCAGCGTCGGTTGTTCTCGACCTGTCTATCTATCTATCTAGCTATCTGTTTGTCTGTCTGTCTGTCTGCCATACTGCAGGCAGGAGGTATCGATTGTTGGTTAGGCTGCAATCGGTGATTATCAGTCATGACATACCTGCGCATTTGGCTAGTTAGTACACAGTAGGATGTCGTCACATCAATATCACTATACGCTAATTCATCACAACTACTAGCTAGTTAGTGAGCTATCTACTGACTGTAGATAACTAGTATACGTCTACAGTAGCAGCTTGACAGGCCTAAACTAGCACTACCACTACTAACAAATACAATTAATTTATTCCAACAACAACACAAAAGTAATATACACATATATATGCACTTCATCTATTTTTATTACTATTAGTTAGTACCCGCAAGCTTTGCGCACGTACAACACCTCTGTCATCGTCATTCTTATCTTCAGGGCTCGAGCAGCAGCAGCAGATCAGATCAATTAACATACTCGGTATAGCGTATATGTATTCTTCACATGGGACCTGGCAGACACATCTTCTCCTCTCACACTTTCTCTGCCTATTATTTTTTTATTTGAAAAAGTACTTTGACGTGCCGATATCTGAGGCATCCCCTCCCTCCCTCCCTCCATCATCCTTCCAAAACTTCCATATGCCCGTTTGTAACCACTCACAGAATTAAAATCAAACACAGATAACCGAATAAATAGAAAGAGATAGATAGATAGGTAGATAAAGACCCCTTTAACACAGTAAGCGAAACACACAGTAGTCAACTACTAAATGACTCTTAACTAATAATGTACCTATAAGTCTTGGCTGCAGCCCGAAAGGAGGGGCAATTAATTTATTCGCCAACCTTTTTGCTAGGTTGTCCCGTTTGCCTCTTTCCCCCCTCTTCGCTTTTCTTCTGTTCGCTTCGCTTTCGAAGTACGCAATCCACTGCAAGGGAGTAGAATCCCTGTCTTGCCGGTGCCGACCAGAAGGATTTGGTTGCTCGGTATGGTGGTTCCTCGTCGGGATGAGGAGAGGGGGGGGGGAAGGTAGTCGGTAAACCTGCTTTCTTTCTTTCTCTCTATTTTATTTTCTTTTCAACTATAAAACTGAACGTGGAAGGGATGGAGGGAGGAGCGTTACACAAAAAGTATTATCTATTTATACCATATCATCAAACTTATCAATCTATATCACTTCTGTCTTATTAACCTTCAATAGGATGGAGATATTTCTTCTTCAGCATTAACTAGTATAAGTATATCATTGAAAGTTAAGCACACCCTCTCTTCATAGTACTCACCACTAGACACCACCAAGTAAATGAATTCAGCCACCTCGATTCCTAAAACCAGGGTTACCCCCACAACCCGAAAGCCATCCACAACAGAATGAAATGCAACTTCGGGAAGCCGACGGACAGACCGGCATGCAGACAGAGCAGTTAGGGACACACGGGATGTTTCAGCTTCCTAAGCCACACACTTCGTTGGATTGGGCCGAAAAAAACTAAAGCAACTAAGATGGTAGCTAAGACTACGGATATTAATTAGTTGAGTGACAATAGTATAGTATAGTTTAGGATAGTATAGTATACCGGGATATGAATGACCCTAAGTCGCGGCTAACTAGCTAACTAACTAACTAGCTAACCAAAGTACGTATGTACACAGTAGTAGCAACGTAGTAAATAGTAATAGTCTAGACCAGGATCACATCCATGCACGATTGCATAATCCCCAATAACTTTGAACGATAACAACGAAGAAATGTGATTGATTGGCCCTTACAGGGTCAGACACTAGATTTCACAAAGCCAAACATAGTAGGTGATGTACACAGCCTACATAGTACTTGCTTGCTTGCTTTCTAGCCAAAGCATATTATTATTGTTTTATTATTATTATTAATATTGTGGTAGCCGAATAATGATTCAAGATGATGATGATGGAAGTGATTGTCTGTCACGGCTGCTTGAAGCGGCAAATGATCTGATCCTATCGGATATTCATCAAGTTCAAGTTGGTCTTTCTCCCGGCCCGGTGCCAAGCCCCAACATTCCCGAAACATGCCCGTGGACTATCCTTTCTGCTCGGCCATACTGGCTGGGAGGATTCCGGGTATGTCCGATATGCCGATTCCATTCGGTTTAGTTTGTTGCAACTTGCAAGTATGTGCTTGGTGAGAATTTGAGAAGGTTTCCCGGGTGTCCTCAGTCATCTAATCTAAGCTAGTTTAGTTTAGTTTAGCTTAGTCTGGTCAGTCTTCAGGCAACCATCCTTCAGTCACTAGGCTTCTAAGCGGGCCTGCACGTTGGCACTCACTCACTCCAGTTTATTGAGTTTGGACCCTGCCGTGCTGGGTAGTACCAGACTCCATCTAGATTAATCGACTTTGTAGGATTCTGCTACACGGAGTCCGTGGGTTTGCAATAACTACGGTGTAGATCATGACTCCGACAACAACATCAGTTTCAAAGCAAGAAAGAAATTCAGACCAAATTTACAAGTGAACCTAATTACTTCCTTGCATCTCTAAACATAGGAGATATATCGACGAGAAAAAAGAGAAAATGAGACCAGATATAAGAGACAAAAAGTACAGTGTGGCCGCCATGGCTCGGACATCGAAAGGGAGTCGTCTAATGATAGAGAGATGGAGGGGAGGGGATGAAGTCAAAACCCCCGCCCATACTGGGCGAATAAGAGTGGTGTGTTCCGCCCAGGAACCGGCAGGGTTCAGGGAAATGTCTCCGCCTGCGTGCAGACTGTTATCAATTCGTCTAGACCAGATCCCTCTTGACGAATTCGTTCAGCAGCGCCTTGCCCAGGGAAGCGGGGCTGCGCTCGACAACAACACCAGCCGCCTCAAGAGCGGAGATCTTAGAGTCAGCGCCACCCTTGCCGCCGCTGACGATGGCTCCGGCGTGACCCATACGACGGCCCGGGGGAGCGCTAATGCCGGCGATGAATCCAACGGCGGGCTTGTTGTACTTGTTGTTGGCCTTGAGGAACTCGGCAGCATCCTCCTCGGCGCTACCACCGATCTCACCAATCATGATGATACCGTCGGTCTCCGGGTCCTCGAGGAAGATCTTCAGGCAGTCGATGAAGTTGGTGCCGGAGAAGGGGTCACCACCGATACCGACGACCAGGGACTGACCAAGACCAGCCTGGGTGGTCTGGTTGACGGCCTCGTAGGTCAGGGTACCGGACCGGGAGACGATACCGACACGGCCACGCTTGTGAATGAATCCAGGCATGATACCAATCTTGCACTGGCCCTATACATCCGAAAAATTTCATCATTAGCATCTTGACCCCTGTCCAGAAGGATCGCCTAGTGGTTTTTAGGTGCAACTTACAGGAGCGATGATACCAGGGCAGTTAGGACCCACCAGACGGGTCTTGTTCTGCGTCTTCAGGATATCGGTGATACGAACCATGTCTGGTTGATTGGTGGTCAGTCCTACACCCAACATGCAGAGATCGTCGGCGCTACGCCATGGCTAGGAAAACATACCGTGCTGAGGGATACCCTCGGTGATACTATCCCGGTTGTTAGCACATGCTAGGCTCTTCTATCGTCATCGAGAGAGTTTGCCTACCAGACAGCCAGAGGAATTTCGGCCTCGATGGCCTCCTCAATACCCTTAGCGGCCAAGGGGGGGCTAGACTCAATCATTAGCAAATGTTCCTTCCATTCTCGATTAGGACGCCGGAAGCATACGGGACGAAGAGCGCAGTAGCGGTAGCTCCAGTCTCCTTGACGGCCTCGCTCACGTTGGCGAAGACGGGACGGTCAAGGTGCATCGAGCCGGCCTTCTTCGGGTTGGTTCCACCAACGACCTTGGTGCCTAGCAAGTTGTGAGTTTCCCATGTGAAACCGCCGGAGACACCTATCTAATTGGTGCAGACGTAGGAGGAGATAATACCATAGGCGATAGCTTGCTCAGCGTGGAAACTGCGGAAAGACGAAAAATAGCAACGTCAGCATGTCATGCATGATAAAACAGCGTTCCCAGCGGATCGGGCAAAAAAGACGTACGTTCCCTGCTTTCCAGTGAAACCCTGGAAGATGACCTTGGTCTCTCCGTTAATGCGAAGGTTGTTCACAGTCTCAGCATAAGCCGGGCTGGCCGAGGCAGAGTATGCCCGGCGCTGCGTGGCAGCAGCATTGCGAAGGGCAGCGACGGTGTTACGGCGGACGGCCTGCATGGTTGATGGGGAGGGGAAGAAACCCGGTAAGGGGATATCGGAAAGAGGGGAGAGGTGTGAAAGTGAAGCACTACAAAGGTGCAAGAGAGAGTTTGTGGTTGAGATAGAGAAGAGAGAAGAGTAGCCGTTTCAAACGCGCCGGACAGATTCGCTTTGGGGAATTTCGGGACAAAGCTTTAAGCGGATCCGAGTTGTCACGGGCGGTCGGTTGCCTCCCTCGGCCTCGCTGCTCTTTTTTTCCTGTTGCCGTTGTGCTGTTCCGCCGCATCATCTCCCCCACATTATCTTAGCTCTACGCTTCTTTTTTCGGTAGTGGCTATCCAAGATCCAGATCTAGATTTTGTATCTTTATGACTGATTTGGCCGGTTGATTGATTTTCTACTTGTCTTTCTTTTTTCGCCCCGTCGCGCAGTTCGCGTGGTGTGCATTTCACCTCCTTCAAGATGGCGACCGCTACAATGACTATGCCGCCACTTCCCAAGTCGAAGAAAAATGCCAAACTTCCCCCGGAGAATGAACGTTTTATGAGAGCTTGCTCCGATATTGCGAATGCCCTCATCCAAGAATATGAAGCGCAACGCGATCCCAAGAAACCCAAGAGAGATATCAACCTCAACAAACTGCGGGGTCAAGTCGCCAAAAAGCATGCCCTGGCTACACAACCCCCATTGACAGCCATTATCGCGGCTGTCCCTGAGCACTACAAGAAATATATCCTTCCCAAGTTGATTGCGAAGCCCATCAGTATGTCTGCGCCTTGTCTCCCCTGCGCTTAGCAATTCTAACAGCCCCTGCTAGGAACGTCGTCCGGTATCGCGGTTGTCGCGGTCATGAGCAAACCCCATCGTTGTCCCCATATCGCCTACACCGGAAATATTTGCGTCTACTGCCCTGGTGGCCCTGATTCCGACTTTGAGTATTCTACACAGTCATATACCGGATATGAGCCGACGTCGATGCGCGCGATCCGTGCCCGTTACGATCCGTTTGAGCAGGCCCGAGGACGTGTGGACCAGATCAAGTCTCTGGGTCACAGCGTGGACAAGGTGGAGTACATCATCATGGGTGGAACATTCATGTCTCTTCCGGAGGACTACCGTGAGTCGTTCGTGGCTCAGTTGCACAACGCGCTCAGTGGATACCAGACGGACAATGTCGACGAAGCAGTACAGGCTGGTGAGATGAGTAACGTGAAGTGCGTGGGTATCACGATCGAGACAAGACCGGATTACTGTCTCGACCAACATTTGAGCAGTATGCTCCGCTACGGATGTACCAGATTGGAGATTGGTGTCCAGAGTCTGTATGAGGATGTTGCCAGAGACACAAACAGAGGTCACACTGTTGCGGCCGTCGCAGAAACATTCAAGCTTGCCAAGGATGCCGGCTTTAAGGTCGTCAGTCATATGATGCCGGATCTGCCCAACGTGGGCATGGAGCGTGATTTGTTCCAGTTCCAGGAGTACTTCGAAAACCCGGCTTTCCGAACGGATGGTCTGAAGATCTACCCCACGCTGGTCATTCGTGGAACTGGTCTCTATGAGCTATGGAGGACTGGTCGTTACAAGAACTACACACCAAACGCCCTTATCGACCTGGTTGCCCGCATCCTGGCTCTGGTGCCCCCATGGACGCGTATCTACCGTGTCCAGCGTGATATCCCCATGCCCCTGGTGACCTCGGGAGTCGAGAACGGCAACCTGCGCGAACTGGCCTTGGCACGCATGAAGGACTTTGGCACCACCTGCCGCGACGTACGTACCCGTGAAGTCGGTATCAATGAAGTCAAGAACAAGATCCGCCCATCCCAAGTCGAGCTGATCCGCCGTGACTACACGGCCAACGGAGGCTGGGAGACATTCCTTGCCTACGAGGACCCCAAGCAGGATATCCTGATCGGTCTGCTGCGCCTGCGCAAGTGCAGCCCAACCCACACCTTCCGGCCCGAGTTCACCGGTCAGCAGACCAGTATCGTGCGTGAGCTGCACGTGTACGGATCTGCCGTCCCTCTCCACGGACGTGACCCGCGCAAGTTCCAACACCGCGGATTCGGAACCCTGCTCATGGAAGAAGCAGAGCGCATCGCTCGCGAGGAGCACGGCAGCACAAAGATCAGTGTTATCTCTGGTGTCGGTGTGCGCAGCTACTACGCTCGTCTGGGATACACTCTCGATGGACCGTACATGTCCAAGATGCTCGACCCGATTGAAGACGAGGAGTTTTAAGCACTATCAGAGAAAACAGACCGTTTATGAATATGAATGATGTGCGGTATTGCAACAACACCCACAAACGATACTTGAAACACAAAAGTCCTTCTTCTTAGGTCATCTGCATGTGGCGTTGCTCGGGGTTGGTTCTCCATTTACACTGTTATTCAGGGGAGCAGTAGCGAAATCGGCATATACCAAAAATGGGCGGGATTAGAGAAACTTGCATTGTACATATGGCGCTTGAGCCGATTTGCTTGCCTACCACTATTACTACTATCTTTATGAGGATGAATGAATACATGTCATATGTGTATTGAAAGTTACTTCGCCTTTCTGTTAATTTCTGTTACAGATAGTACTCCACTCGCTGCTACTACGGCATCTATTAATGAACCGAACAGTGAAATATTATGATGGATGATGATGATGATGATGATGATGATGATGATGATGATGATGATGATGATGATGATGGATTGAACATAACTGCGGACACACAAGTTCTATTCGAACAAAGACTATATACATATACAACCCGCAAAATACACCAGAAAAGAGAACGGCGCAAAAAAAAATCAATCAATCCAAACATCCATCACATCACATCGCAACTGAAGAAGCTATCAATAATCAATCCAATGCCATTCCGGCTTTATATTAAGCAAGCGAGGATGGAGTGAGCCTCCCACGATCAGATTGTCATACGTAGCACAGCACACGCAGACAATATCGTCATTGTTTTCCTTTCCTTTCCTTTCTCTTTCTCTTACATCCAGGGGAAGTATGCCCGCCGGTGGGATAAGTTGTACATCTCTCGATGATCTATCCGCATCTGCATCGATATGCTTCTTCCTACTCCAGCAAGATAAAGCCAGTAATCCACCTCACCCAATCAAATCTCAAAAATCGCAAAGCAATGTAGGATAACCCTTTAACTCAACGATATAGCCCCGCCCCTCCGGGCCCTCATGTGCAAGTAAGCCTGGAAAGCGCAGAACACGAAGAAAGCCTACACCAGCCATCGATCGGTCAGCATATCCATTCTTTCTCTCTCTCTCTCTCTTTTTCCCTCGTTCATCTCCACCACTCCAATCCATTATACATCAGGATTCAGGGATAAACACGTACAATATAAACCAACACAGCGGTGAAAATCGAAGCTGCGACCGCGGCGCCATCTTCAGGTTCACCTTCGGAGCCAGTGAAACCGGGGTGTTCGCTCTATTCCATGACTCTTTTGTCAGAATACTCCTTTCTTTTGGACGAGAATAGAATATTGATGTGGTATAAAACGCACCTTGTATAGCGAACCCAAAACGGAGAGGATAACGATGGCGAAGACGGAGATGACCACGCTATTTCAATGTCCCTTGTATTAGCTAGCTGGTTCTGGTTCTGGTTCTGGAGTCGCGCTGGGTGGGTGTATTGTAGACGTACCAGGACCATGCGTTTAGGGCTGAGACGACGGGCTTCATCTTGTATGATCTGGTATGATTGGGGCACCTTTCGGGGGTCGAGAGGAGGAGGGAGGGAGAGTTGGGAGTGGCTGGCTGGCGCGGCTCGGGTGGTTGATGGTGATACCCGCTATTCGATGAGATGCGATGAGATTTGCGAACTAGCGATGGGATGTATTGATCGCTGACACGGATAAAAGAGTGATGGAACTTTCAGATTGCCTGTCCAGGCTGCCTTTGAGAGGGGGGGGAATGAAGCCGTTGATGTCGTTGGATGATGTCGAGGATCGCAGGTGCCGGTGGAGACCTCCGGTGTGTTGGCGCTAAGCTGTTTTGGGGCGGGCGGTTGTGTGTCGAGACTTGTTGTCCGCGTCATGGTGTTGCACTGGATGGTTATACTTTGTCCCGTCAGGGGATTAAGTCTTTCGACTGATAGTATAGAGTAAATGAGTATTTTAGGTCTTGTGAGATGTCGCTCTTTGAATATGCGAGGTGTGTTAAAAGTAGTGTAGTAGTACTGGTTCCATTCATGGCCTCAGTGCTTTTAGTATTTGAAATATATATACATCATCTGCCATGTCTCATGTCTATTTTCATCCACAACTATCGCTTCAATCCAACAACCACGCCCTAATGCGTCTTGTTCCATTCTATACACTCATCAAACGTTACCCCAGATCCACCAAAGATATCCAACGCACTTCCAATCGTCAAATCCACCTTCCCTTGACTGCTGACGTGAACCTTCTCCAGATCCTGGAGATTCCGAGCACCTCCGGCATATGTGACAGGGATCGTGCACCACTGGGACAGCTTAGACACGAGCTCCTCATCAACACCCTGTTGCAGACCCTCAACATCTGCAGCGTGAATGAGGAATTCGGAACAGTAGGGCTCCAAGAGCGCAATTGATTCTGCTTCGGTTAGTTGTATCCGTGCAACAACTGGAAATCACAGCGAGAGAACAAAGCAAGCAAAACCATAACAACATAGCCATCAATCCAAAGCTAAGACTTCATGCTTACCTTGCGTAATCTCCATCTCAGTAATCGTCTGCCAGCGATTCATAGCCACAAACCACGTGTTGCCCTTCTTCCTGCAGCTCAGGTCCAAGACCAGCTTAGACCTATCACCATCCAGCGCAGCAAGGACAGACTGCAGCCGTTCAAGAGAGAACTTGCCCTCCGGGAAGAGGAACGATGTGATGATAACCTGCAATTGCAACATTAGCCATTACACTGCATAACAACACAACCCTCAACCTCCAACCCCCAATCTATCCATCATCCATCCACACCAACAAACCCCCCCCACCAAAAAAGAAGAAAGTAGAAACAAAGAAAACCAACCTTCTCAGCCCCCATCTCAATCCAATACTTCGCATTCTGATCCGTAATGCCCCCCGCAACCTGCAACCCAGCAGGCCAAGTCCTCAACGCCTCCTTAGCAGCCTCATCATTGCCCGGACCGAGCATAACAACATGTCCACCTCTCAAGTCATTCTTTCTATACAATTCCGCATAGTGACTGGCCGGCAACTTCGACACATAATTCGTCTTCAAATCCGCCGCAACACTGCTCAACGTTCCGCCCACTATCTGCTTCACCTGGCCGGAGTGTAAATCAATGCAGGGACGGAATTTGGTCATTTTGATGGAGGTATCCTCTGAAATGTCCACCACAAGTCACTCAATTCGTGTGTCTGATCAGTACTGTCGTGAATGAATAAATGACTCTATCTATTCCCCCCCCACGGTTTTGTGGAAATCCGACGAGGGGTTGCGCGGGTTATCTTATCTACACGTGATAGCAACTATACAGTATGGAGAATAAGTGGGTTACATAAGCCGGTTGTTTTACGGCAAAGTCGTCACTTTATCGCGCGCATTATTTTTTTCCGCCGGGACGAGTGGTTTGGTCGTTCAGCATTTTATTGTTTGGTTTATAGCAGCAGCACAAGGAATTGGAAATGGTCGGAAAGCGCAAGAGAGAGGCTGCTGTTGTCTCTAGGACTACGAAGGTGGATGAAGAGGAGGAGAAGACGACGCCACAGACGGAGACGACTGATGCGTCTGCTACGGATGTTTTTCGCAAATTCTTTGAGGCGCAGTTTCAGCCGTTGGAGGTGCCTGGGGGCCAGGTGACCCGTGGTGATGAGTCGGATGAAGAAGATAGTGAGGATGAGGATTTTGAGGAGGGATCTAAATCGGGCTCTGATTGGGATGGTCTTTCCGGAGAGGAAGACGAGGCTCCGGTTGAGGTGGTTGAGCATCGCGATATCAAAAGTCAGGATTTGTTGGATAAGAAGGCACGCAAGGCGTTTATGGTATGTCTACGAATTGTGCGTGTGCTGTTATGGTTTCTTTGCTAATTCGCCTCTACTAGACCTCGAAACCACCCTCGTATTCCGAAGAACCGAAGCCGGCGAAAAAGAAGGCCAAGAAGGAAAAGAGCGATGATGACGAGGAGGACGCCATGGATGCGGATAATCTGAAGAATGATCTCGCCTTGCAACGGCTCCTCAAAGAATCCCATCTGCTCGAGTCGGCGAATGAGCTTGCGCCAACCGGTAAAAACCGAATCAAGGCTCTCGATCTGAGAATGCAGGAACTGGGGGCAAAGGCATCTTTGTATAAGCAGAAAATGCCCACAGCGCACAGAAGAGGCATCAAGGAGAAGGCGGAAATGAAGGAAGATAGGCGCCGACGCGAAGCCAAGGAGAACGGTATCATCCTCGAGAAGCCCGCACCGAAATCAAATCCAGCCAGCACCAAGCGTCGGGAGCGCGGTGTCGGAGGTGCTTCTATCGGAAAATTTGCGGGTGGTGCTTTGAACCTGAGCAAGCGTGACGTGGCCGCCATTCAAGGCCCGCGCCGCACGACAAAGGGCAAGGGCAGGGGCAGAGGACGTCGCTAGGCCTGCCTGAGAGTCATAAGTGGCAGTACTAGCCACGCCTGACACCACTCCCAGTCAGATCCCTTTACGTTCCGTGCGCGCCCAGAGCACGCCGCCCTGATTCGACATGGATTGGCTGCCGAGCGTATCCTAGCCCCAGTAATGCTTACCGGAAGAGGGGTTGTAGTCTTGTTTCTTTACATGAGGAACTTTCTGTCAATCCTTCGCCTTCCTCTTGTTTTTCGGCTGTTTCACCAACACGCCCCGACCCCTTTGTGAAGGTCTACCGTGTCCAGACTGCTGTGATCGGTCGGGATCGAGTCCTCGATGTGCCGCAACAAAGGGGAGAGCAGAACGATGCGCCCGCTCGTAATGAGGACGTCGAGATGGCCCCGGCGTCCATGCGGGCTGCAGCCTTGATTCAATGCTGAAACTTCTGATTTGCCCGCTCAAACCTTAATCCCCGAAACGCCTTAAGACAGTGTGCGAAGCACGTTCCAATAACACCAAACTATGTGCGAGACCGAGCACGCTGTTCCGAATACGGTGATATCCCCGAGTCGAGCTAAGGTTTGAGGACGAGACCCTCAATTTCGAGACAGCCTATGGCCTTAGGACGTTTGAGAAGGTCGACGGACATGAGAATACCCCAGAGGTTGGCCAGTTATAGTCGCTAGGTGCTGTCTATAAACAGCTGAAGCACGAGTCATCCTAGATAGATAGATCTTAGAAAGCGTCTAGTCTCTTGTCGAGCAAAAATAGAACATCCCCATCTCGTATAGAGACACCCGGTGAAAGGGCACGCATGAACCGACTGTAAACAAGACTTTTAGTACCTTTTAGCTCGATTCCTTGGAGAACTACTATCAAGGTACACGTCAGTTCTCTCCAGTAGTAGCGCTCACCAAATGTTGAGTTGAGAAACCTAGCTTCTCATCTGATCAGTCATACTCCTATTTTTTCATCTCTAGCTCGGTCTCGGTTTAAGCCAGCCTAATAAGGACTAAGAGTTTGCCAGTCTGATATGATTGAGTTTGCCAGTTCTGCGGCTACAGGCACACCGATCTGCTACTAGCGGATAAACGTCCCACCCTCAGGCAGTTCCTCTGTCTGCTTATCTAGTTCCGGTGTACCGGGGTACCTGCATGAATAATCCGATATTATTAGGTTAGTGCAATAGCGGTTCCGTGGTTCCAATTCTCTAGTTCAGGTACCGCTGCCGTGAAGGGGAATGGAGAAGCCGCAAAAGGAGGAAAGAAAAATTGGATGCGAATTGCTAAGGCGTCAATAATAGTTCCCATTATTGTCATGCATCCATCCGGTTTTGTTAGTCATCTCCCACTAAATTCTGCATGCTCGTGCCTTTGCACGAACCACAAGCCATGAGGCGGGACAGGGAGACATCTTCGTCGTTTCAGATTCTGCACGTAACCTTTCCGAGCAGTGTACTTTGACACTTGCACCGGAATCGCTTGGAAATGTCGCTTAGTACGAGTCAGAAGTCTGAGTCGTGACCCGTAGAGACAGGGTGGTTGGTGCCTTCTGGAGAAGTCTAGACGATATCGTGCAAGCTGGATCTGGATCATTGCCGACTACACTTGGCATTTATCACCCCTTAAGCGGAAGTCTACCGAATCGCGCATGAAGCCGGATTGGTGCGTATAGCGTGTTGTTGTTGATAGCATGATGCGGAGTTGGAGTATCCATGCTCAGTGACAGAAAATGCCGCTATATGATCCTTCATGCAGGAACGTGGAAAAAAATGCGTAATCCCCACTCTTAGTGCTCACTTACCTGCTTGGCATATTGACAATGCACTAGATAGCTGGTGTGATTAGGCCCATGAGTATCTTTTCACCTTATTAGACAGGTATGATGGAAAATGTCATTCATCTGTTGTCCGTAATATCGAGAAGTCAACAATGTGGAGGATCGAGAGACAAGGGCAAGCTAGCTGATCGATCTATGGCCTGGGCAGAAACTTAGAGGCAAGAGGTGGGTTTGCGCACACGGAATTCCAGCTTTCTCCGTTGGTCGCCATATAGAACAGAGGGTAATACCAAGATCCGAGGTTTAAACGGCGAGAGAACAAGGCCGCTGATCATCTCCATTCCGATATATCCGGCCATTCCATTTGCTGACTGGCGGAGACAGATTCTTCAGGGAGCCAGTGTGCTTCTCTTGGGTCTCCGAGGTTTATTGGCATGGTTTACGGATTTATATCAGTTTGTGGGATAGTACGACTGTTGTCAACAAGCGACTATTGTGTGTGCGAAATCCTAGGTGAAAGAGGCCGACCAAGCTGGCCTACTGACCATCGACCGTATCGGCAATCCGGATGAGATAGATGTATCAGGCTGGGAAGATCAGCATAGGGACGGCGCACTCGCTACACATTCCACTAAGGAGCTGACAGTTGTAAACAGAATCCGGATGGACGCGACTCTAAGCTCCCCCGCACGTTCTCGAGTCAGGCCGGGAGTTTCATCTTGGACACTACTCCAGCTTAGCTTCATGGCTAGATACGAGACACAAGCTATCACCAGAACAGAAGGTAGAGATGTAGAAAGATGGACCTAGCGTTGGTCCGGCCTCTGTTTGATCGCCCTGAGCTGCCTATCTCATATCCCCGACAGATAGCACTGCTGTACAGGCCGAGGCCGAGTGCGGCACAGACTCATACAGTAAGAGATAGATGTTGCCCAGGTGGTCCTGGCAGTGACGGATGCCGGAAATTGGAACAGTGCTGGACTTTTCTAGATGGTTTCAGGCCTGACGATCAAACCCAGGCCCGTTGCACAGAGAGCGGGCCAAGCCTTCCCTTGCTGGAAATGCGGCCCTTCCTCTTCGCAGAAGGACAGAAAGGGTAAGTCAAAGTAGAATGGCCTTTTTCTGAACTAACTTACTACTAAGGCACTAAGTAGCGAGCTAATGCCGGCTTTACCAATGACGACCTTGTGGTCAGCAAGCCGGCAGAGGCGGCCGTAATTTATGGCCCCATTTGGTCTCCATCGAGAACCCCATGGAATCCAGGCACAATTGCCTATTCCGGCCTGGTTGCCACCCTATTAGGGTCTGGAAGGATTCAACCGTCAGGGGAGAGCTTGAGTTTCCAAGTTGTCCTTAGTACCACTTAGCATCTTCGATGGAGTACTGGAGTACTATCTACTGGCACTATTTGCCATGCTAACCTTAGTCTCGCTATGCTTCCGACTGTTGCTACTGGATTCGAGCCATCCCGACTCCATCCTAACCCCATCCCAATCCCCATCCTTACGCCGTTCTTCCACTTCCTTTCGCAGCTACTCCGAGAACTATTGCGAGATATCGTGTGAACTTACGTAGTCTGCTCCGAAGAGGCGTCCAGACTAAAAGACATGGCTTTGGATAACTCTAAATGTGTATGGGTGCGAGCTATCGGCGCCCTCTTGGGATGCTCGGTCTTTCGGACTTCTCCCAAATGCAGCAACCAGCCTCCGGCATTCTTGACTGGGTCTTCGGAGAATTTATCATGGTAGCAAGGGGTCTCTTCCCACCGACCCTGATCGATGACAGTGCTCAGATATCAGCCTGTCTATTTTTGTGATCTCTTGGTGGTCCCTGACCTCTCCTGACCGGCATACCCATGATGCCCCCCCTTTTTTTTGCCCAGCACACGCAGTCGTTGTAGTCTGCACAGTGCACGGTGACTATCTCTGTAGGTCTTTCTCTCTTTCTCTGCGGACATTCAGAATTCGGCCGAAACTGTGGAGTAGACTACTTACATAAAGATCTTGACGATCGGACCAATGACCGCCTGACAATCCCAGCACTTAAGTATGCCTCTATAACCAGCATACCCTATACTAGCCATCCTAGCCTCCTTGAGCGGGCTGAAGTGGAGGAAGTACAGTATAGGGGGCAATCATGGCCTTACGGCACACTTCGGACAGACTTTCGGAAGACACATCCTACCATGGATACCACAAGAATTGGGCTGTTAAGGCTTGGCGACTAAGCTTCGCCGTTTTCGCATCCATCCTTTGGATTGCGCAGATCACCCCTGATGCTCAACGTCCTGACCGTATGATGGCATGCTCCGGGGTTAAACCGGCTAGACCTCATTTTTCGCATCACCGCCTTTTCTCTCCCAAATTACCTAGCAAACAATTGCTTTCAGATTTGTCATCGTGATCGCGTTAAACAAATGGGTTAGCTCGGGTCACGAAACATGGATTGCGACATTACCCGCGCTTGTTTCCTATCCTGCTACAGTGATTCAGCCTGGTATGTGACTTGGGCGATCATTATGTCATCTCTGACATACCAGTGATAATATCATCAGGCATCTATGAATTCAGACGACGAGGACGATCTTGATGTTCTTAGAGTTAGGAACATACCCCATAAAGCACGATCCCAATATCGAAGTGCACTATATTGATGCACACGGACCAAACCTTGATGTCTCAAAAATGAGCTCGGGTAATCGGGCCCCTCATACTGTGTGCGATTTAATTTAAGATCGTTGTCTGTATCTTGTGAAAGAGTCAGGTGAATGTCATTTAGTCGATCGTGATAATTTGTATCCGATATTAATCTTTATTTGGAGGCTATGGTTGGTGGGCCAATGGGCGTAGCGCTTGCCGCTATGATGGTGATTGTGATTGATCATCTTGATCAGTTATATACGTCCAAAGACAATCAAAAGGCAGAAAGTACCTACTAAGTAGGTACTTACCAACTTACCGGGGTTTACTTTCCCAACTACTACTATCTTAAGTGACCCCCTCAACCAGCCTTGAGCGGCAAATCTCACCGGTCATGCGTCCCTTGGTGGCAGTGGCGTTTTGGGCTGTAGGCTATTCCTATCTTTGAGCAGCTAAGCCCACCATGCTTTTGGAAAATGTATGTGTAGTGTATGTACATGCGTGTAAGCACTGCCTGGCCGAGTGATCTCCTCCATCGGTACCCTTGATCTTCCCAAACAAAGGGGGCCAATATGCAAGCCGAAGGGGGCAAAACATATCATACTGTCCCACTACTTCGGTAGACTTCCCAAGAGGCTACTATCTACTCTGTATCTACTATCTACTAACTGTACAATACCAAGGATTGTACATCCTTGTGCGCCACGATCAAACTGGTCATCACGTAAGATCAGTCAGTCGGTTTATTTTTGGTGCCGTCAATTACTGTTGCCCTGAAGAGTTTCTACTAGTTAGATACTACTTCGGAAACCCGCATAATAACCCTGCATGTAATTCGCCTGTTGGACAGAAACTGGGCGGTGGTACTGGTGCATGGCTAGTCTGACAATCAGATGAGCCCATGTCAAGTAAGTAATACAACACTGCCATTGCCATGCCATGCCATGCTACACCAGGCAATCATCTGCAGATGACTATAGCATGGCCTAGCCGCCAGATATCCAACCACACATTGAAGAAGCAGGTTGGAAGCCTTTGTCTTACTATATTGCCAGAACAAACACAAGACAAAGGTGATGGACGGATGGATGGGCTATTACTAGCTACCCTACTAGTCTACTAGTCATACTGTAGCTACAGTAGTCACATACAGGTAAGTAAATAGGCAAGGGTAAACAAACCTATCTCACAGAGAGAGAGGAAGGCACACTAGTACCACGACTGGAAGGTGGATATTGCTTCTCTCAGTTCTATTGGGGCCACTGAAAATTGTGGGTTGGAAGGGATAATCCATGCCAGCCATTGGCGGAGTAGTAAGCGCTCACCAGAACTCTGAAACAAGGGGCGAATGCTTCAAGATTGTTTCCCGCGCCAGTTTGATCGGGCAGGCTTGGCGTTGTGGTCTTTTCTTGGTTCCACCCAGGGCGGCAAACCCAGCGAGGCGCCTTGGTTTGTGATTTCATTTCCATGCCTTGACCAAGCGGGTAGCATTGCTGGCACAAAGGGTGTAAAAAAAGAAAAGAAAAAAGAAGAAAGGGTAGTGGACTACTTACTACTGTAGAAGAAGGTTGGTAGCGATGAATTGGGCGGTTAAGCAAGCCGCATCTTCTCGTTCTTATTCGATGTGACTTCCCACTTACCATAGCCGCTGGCTGTGATATGCAGTGCTAGTGTCAATGGTGGGTTGTGTCTGTGTATGTGTGTAATGCTTGGATAGGCTGGAGTGAGACCTGGCAAATGGCCCCCAAGAAGAATGAGGCCCCCAAATAAATCGTCGCCTAAGTAAGTTGAAAAAGAGGAGGGTACATCGCCCGTGCGCGCCTATGTGCATATCTGGTGGTGTACAACTACTTACTACACAATACTTACTCTTACTACACCACAGAGGGGAACCCTTCTCCTGATTTCCCCTTTTCCAAAAGCTTCTGGTAGTAATATCGGGATGCCAAGAGATAGAGCTTACTTGTGTTAAGGCTCTTTGGATCCCACTCAAGGAATTTTTGTCCACAGAGAAAGCGTACTGATATCCTATTTTGGTTGCAAATCCGAATTCCCAACAGTCAGGCCGTCGGATACCCATGATCCATCATGGAGGTGCCTAGGCTACCGGGACCAACTCCACTTTTGCATGTTCTGTTTGCCCATTTCGTTCTTCTGTGTAAGGTTAGCCACACCTTCCCCACACATAGCAGAAAGCCAGTAAATATCGCGCGGCCCATGATGTAAGATATCTTCAGGAAGCGCTCTTTAAATTAACAGTCGCCAAGTCGGAGCAGGTAGGCTACCCCACAGAATCAATGGGATTGGCTTAAAGCTTTGGGGTGTATGATTGCAAGCTGCAGGAAGAGACAGGGTGTGTATGATGATTATTATGTTAGTATATGTGAGTTAGTATGTAGTACTAGAGACCCTTTCAACTGATGGTTTTCTTTTTTTCCTTTTTCCTTTTTTTCTCATTTCAAAGTTGGTATGACCGACCAGGAAATCAACTGACTAGTAAGTTGAACTACTTAGCAAGATAACTTACTCCGTACTGAATGCTCTTACCACCTTCCAGCAGGTTTCTATGAATAAGTTTAGCAACGATGGAGGTGGACTAACCCAAGAGGGAGGCGGGCCCGGCAACAAAAAAATAACTAACGGATGGGATGGATTGGAATCTTTGGAAGTCGGCGGCAGCCCCACTGTCTGATAATCTGGTTATCCTCCTGGTACCTGACCGTTTGGATACCTAATTATCTTACCATTGACCCCACTTTTTGGAGGTGTGATTTCGCTGCTGAGAGAAGCAAATAGCACAATAATCGGTCCTGGCAGGTTACTTCAGGGAGCAGCCCTTTTTACCATACATGTATAATTCCTGTATCGTATGATTTGATTACCGGGAGGGCCCTCTCTCTCCCTCTCTCTCTCTCTCTCTCTTCTCTCTCCTCTTTTTGCCCTTAGGCTCTCTCAGACTTTCTGTCCTCTTTTTTTTTCCCTCCTCTTTTATTATAATATCGTTATTTTATTTATTTACTCTGAATATTCTTTCTTTTCTTTTCTTTTTCTTTTTTTAATTTTTTTTTATTTCTTCCCTTTCCCCCCTGCCCTGAAGTCGGTCCCTGGCGCCAGTCTCCACTTATATTTTCCTATTCTTTACTCAGTGGGTAAAAAAAAGCCCTACTTTCTCGCCGTGCGCGTATCCCGGAGCCCAACCAACTAAGTAAGTAACTTAGTCAAGCCGCCCAGGAGGGAGGAGAAGAAAGTAGTAGAAAGAGAGACTCCAGAAGTGGGCGCGACTCGATCCGCGGGTCTCGGTCGGCGGCACTCCCTGAATTCCTCCTCCCAGACCCAAAGTCTCCGTCTCTCGACACTGGCTGGTCGTTTAAATTATTATTGTTCTTTTTCCCGATTTTATTATTTATTGTTAGATTATTATTTTATCGATTGGCATTATTATTACCGGTTACCGACTGCCCTTCCATACTTGATCTGTACCTCATCTCTGCTGTAAAAAAGCAAGTCCCTACTTCATCCCTCCACCTCTTCCTCTTCCTCTCTTCCCCTTCCCCTCCTACTCTTCCCCATCGCGACTGGCATCTCTTGTTTTTCTTCTTCCATTTTTACTTCGTCCTTCCTCTTCTTCTTCTTCTTCACCTCCTTTCGTTTCAGTTCACATCCCCATCTTCGCCGTGCGAGTTATCTCAACCCAAGGGACTTGTAATCGGGCTGGCCCAGTTCAACTCTCTGTTGCTCTCTCTCTTTCTCACTGCCTTTCATTTGCCCTTTGTTGACGAGGGTCGGCACAACGT